TTTTAATTTAAATAATATTTTTAAATAATAACTTTTCGAAAATTTATATATTCATTTATTTATATATTTATGGTTTTAATTTAAATAGTAATTTTTACAAAATTTATATATTTATATACCTATATATACATTTAAGGTTTTAGTTTAAATTATAATAATTTTTATATAAAATTTATATGTTTATTTTCTTATATATAGATGTTTGTGTATTTATGTATTTAAAGTTTTAATTTAAATAATAATTTTTATATAAAATTTATATGTTTATTTTCTTATATATAGATGTTTGTGCATTTATGTATTTAAAATTTTAATTTAAATAATAATTTTTATAAAATTTATATATTTATATATATTTTAAGATATATATAATTTCATTAATTGTATTTCATTAATTTTATTTATATAAATTTATCTAAACAGCTTATATTATTAAAGTTTAATATCGAAGATATTAAGAAAATTATTTTTTTCAGATATTTGTGAATATATATTGAATGTATATAATATTGAATATAGTGAATATTATGAACATATAATAGGATAGTAGTTTGTTAGGGCTACTCCATATAATGCTCCTTATGCACATGGTTCCGGGGAACTTGCGCGTTGGAAGACTAAGGAAAGGCGAGTGGGGTTTTTAGTTGGTAGTCCCTGCCGTTAAAATGGCGGCAGGGAGAGCCCAACACTACCCCGACGGGACCGCTATTTAGCGCTAAATAGCGGTCCCGTCGGGGTGTGCATAAGGAGCATTTTCCCCACGTAAAAAAAAAAAAAAAAAACTTGTTAAATTATGTTGTATTACATTTCAAATTATATTATATTTTAATAATGAATTTTAACAATAAATAACATAATATCCGACATAAACAATACCGTGCCAATGATTTTGTTTTACGATCTTGTTATGCAAATTTAAATTTATATACTATATTGCAAAATAAATGCTGCAATTGTATATATTATATTATATATAAAATTATATATAATATAACCCTCCCATGGGGTACACCTTGTTGCGGTGGGAGGGCTTAGTACTTGGATAGTGTCTTGAGATTTATCTTAAATTTTTCTATTTATGATAAATCTTAAGGTGCTTGAAAGGGAAGCTAAGTACCCTTTCGCGTCGTCGGTGCCGTCAACGTGCCGCGGACGGCAAGCGTTTCGTTACCGCGTTTTCGCGTTGTAGTATTCTCGTGTCGTCGCGTTTTCGCGGAAATTTTGGACTTTTTCATATAAAATCCCAATTTCATTTATTGTCACGAGTCTCTACTTCCGATGCCAATTAACTGGGATGTTTCGAGTTTGCACACGTTGTTATGCAACGTACACTCGCGCTTCGTGCTTCGTACTTCGTCAAATGATTCGGCCCGAATTAGTTAGAACTCGATCGATTGCTCGGAATGGTCGTCAATGGGTCCCTTCTCTTTGCTCGTCTACCCTACAGCCACACGCACTGCGTGTGTTAACCCTGTCGAGGAGTTGAGTGGATTCCCCTAAGCATGATTTTCGCTCGGTAAAAGGGGTTGCCTCCCCATTTTTTAAATCGCTGAATGTTAGCATTTAAAAAATGTGGGTATCCTCTTCTTTTGCCGTCTACCAGCCTGGTGTAGCCATATCCTGCATTGCGGGAAACTTCGTGTTCCGGGCGAAGCACCTGAAATCATGCTTAGCGGGTCCAGGTTCGATACGAGATAGGATAATTATGCGCGAAAAAGAGCTGGTGAACTTTATTTTCCTCTATTCCGTCAATCGTTTCGTCTTCTTTCCGGTTCGGGCCTAATCTTTGCTCGTTGTATCGTTGCACTCCCGACCTGTTGGCTCAAAGTTAAGTCTCGTAAATGAAATGAGATTTTCGCTCGTACCGAAACCGGGAGTGTCGGACAAAGTATATATATATTAAATATATACATCGCGCGATCAAATTTTTAATCCGAATACCGAAGTAGTGCGGGAGTGCCGTTTAGTATCGCGCGTAAAATAACGAAAATAGCGATATAAAAATATCGCTCGTGAGTGCGGGAGTGCCGTTGAAAGTATCGCGCGTCAACAACATGAGAGGAGGAGGAGGCCTGGGAGAGGCATCTTGCATCGGCGGAGCAACCTGATGGTGAATATTTATTATTTGTATATCAATTGTTATAAATCGTACGCATAATAATTTGATCTTATTATTTAAATGAATTAAAGAGAAAATGAGAGAGAAAGATTTTTATAAAAGTTATATAAAACTTTTTAAAAAACTTTCTTAAAAAACAGTTTTAAAATTTTATAAAATTTTTCCACACGTGTTTATCTCTGCTTATTATTTTATACATTGGATATAAAATTCCGCGCGATAAAAATTTTTTTAATTATTGATTGCATTTTGTGAGCATTAATATAAATGAATTTTATATTTGTATGTTACAGACAACGTAGCTTCGATAAATATAACTCCGCTTTTGCGCATCAGTGTCGGTGAGTGAGAAAAACTTTTATTTAACTTTAAGGAAACGGATTCGTAGAGATTGTAGATGTAGATTGTAGATTGTAGATTGTAGATTGTAGATTGTAGATTGTAGAGTAAGTCCGTTGCCTTAAAATGGATGAGGTAGGATAGGTTAAATTAAATAACTTTTAATAAATTCTTTCGAAATGCTTTGCATCTATTGCGAAAATATATTGAAGTATTAATTTAAAAAAGAGAATCAAGAAAAGAAAATTTTTTTGTAAAGACTTGACTAGTTTATTAAATCAAGAGCACGCATTAATAATTTTAATAATTTTATCAATTTTGATACTGCTTTATTCTTATAACGCGCATTTATTTTATTCTAATTTCTTATATCATAGCTCATCCATTGTAGAATTTGTTTGTAGATATTGTTTTTAAATTTTACTTTAACTTAAAATAAAGCCAAACGATTAATTAATTAAATAATTTGTAATATTATAAAAGTTATACACACAGATGAATTTTATATTTTATTAGAAGATATAGTATATAGAAATTTGTAGTAATTTGGCTTTATTTGAGTTAAAATAAAGTTATATTCAAATATTTAACAAACGATCGTAAAATCGAGCGATTGTTACGATGAGCGTGAAATATTTACGCTCATTTGCCGGTAATTAATCGGCAAAAGAAGGAGTGTTTATCTCCTTTTTCGATCTCTGATTAGAGATCGAGCGAGAAAGTGGCCAGGATCAAAAGTAAGTTCAACTGGCCTGAAGAAAAGCTTTACGTACAATAGTACGTAATGTCGGACATTTATTCACGCGGTTAGGGCATGCGGTTAGAAAATGTAATTAGAGCACGTAATTAAAGTATACGTGATTAGAAATAGGCTTTCCTCGAATAATTTCATTTAATCGAGAAATAGGATTGTTAGGGCTATTAGGTGATCATTAAGATTTTTTAATTTTCCTTTCAAAAAGTAAAGGATTGTTAGGGCTATTATGTGATTAATTTAGCTGATTTTATATTATGTATCTTTTAAAGAATCAGGAAATGTAGGTTTAAATAATATTAGGGAAAACAAATTAATAAATATTTCAATAATTATATTATTAATATTAAGAATTTTTAAGGGATCAATATTTTTTGAGTATTTTCGAAGAGAGTTTTTTTTCCCCACGTAAAAAAAAAAGGATTGTTAATTTATTTTGTATTACATTTCAAATTATATAATATTATATTTTACATTAACTTTTTGTATTAAATTCTGTAGTGAAAGAAAATGAAAAATTTTGTCTTCTCGATGATATCTCCATCTTAAGGAAGGCATTTGCCGGCTAAGGAGGTTTGAGTATTTTAATGAGCCTGAGAGCTATGCCGGCGGTAACATACACCGATATTCGTATAGACTTTTCTTATATTTAAGATAATTTTAAGTATGATCTTAAATATAAAAGTGAGTAATGAATACCGATCGTAGTTATTGATAGCGTCATCTATGCCGGACATGTCGAAGGGGAAATGTCAGACTAAGAGAAATACCAAAATTATATAAATATTTGTTATATTAATTATATTAATATTTTTAAATAAAATGAAAGAAAAAGGGAATAATCGAGAAAAAGGCAACTACAGTGATTTGAATATCTATACCTGAGAACAAATAGAAAGTATTTCGATGGACTCCATAGGAAGGAATAAGCATGACACAAATGATGATAATTTTTATAATTTTAACACAAAAGAATACAATAAACCATAATAATCCAAGAACTCGAAGAAGAGGAGATTTCTATTGGATAGAAATGCATAATGATTGAAAATAATTAGAAACTAAAAGACAATGTGCAATCTATTTATTAATAATAATACTATTTTGTAATATTTTGTATATTAAATTTTATAATTTAGTACATTATATTATATTACATTATATTATATAAAATATTAAACATAAAAATATTATGCTGGTAAGAAAATTATAATAAAAGTATATAAATAATGTTGACTATATTAGAATAGAACATATAATATCTTTATATTTTATACATATAAATTCTTTATATTTTATATAAAGGAAGAGATATTTAAAATATTTTGCAACATCTATATTTTTCGAATATATATATATATATATATATGTTTCTAAACATAACGCAAATATTTCAGAATAAAGTTGTAGCGTCATACTATATATACATATATATATATATATATATATATATATATATATATATATATTATATGTGTGTGTGTGTGTTTATTTGTGTATGTGTAGAGAGAGAGAGAGAGAGAGAGAGAGAGAGAGAGAGAGAGAGAGAGAGAGAGAGAGAGAGAGAGAGGGAGAGAGAGAGGACCACAAAATTTATTTAAAAAATTAAAATTAAAAATTTATTTATATACATATGCGTTTTGCTATACAGCACTGATGGCATTTCGTGTACTACAGGCATTTTTTACATAGCACGGAACAGAATCAGAAATTGTGCACATATATGTTACCCTCTGAGAACTTTCGTGGACTTTGGCTTTGTAGTTCATGTCCACGTTTTTTAGATTAGAACAGAGGGCGTATCGCTTTCAGGGATCACCTAAAAGCGGGCCATGACACCTCTCAGTCTTCTTTCTGGTCATATGGTCAATCGCGACGTAGTCAAACGGGACGCTCCCGGCGTTGAAACTACTTTAGTAAATAATTAATTTTTGCGCTACAAATTACTTCTGTTTAAAGAATTTGTATTTAAAATTTGTACTTGCTTAGATTGTGTCGGTTGCATAATTATTAGACACAGATTTTAATAAATACGAAAAAATTCTATCATAATCTACTTATGTTTGCACGTGCGTTTCATTGTACACAGGGTGCATCATGTAATTTCAAGTGAGGCAAATTTTTAAGATATTAATTTTACATTTTAAATTTTTAATACTTTATTCTGCACATATTTTTTCTGTCTGATTTTACATAATTATACCGACAATTTACATATAATTGCTTGTAAAATTACTTATAAAAATTTGTTTGTCTCAATTTTTTTATTTATGTTTGATTGAATTTACATTATCTTTTCATACAATTTTAAATTACTCGCTTTAAATTATGAAATTATGGCTTATTCATTTTATATATTTTTTTTTACTTATGAAATTTACACATTTTATTAGTTCTACATTGGAAAAACAGGTTAAACGCAGTACATTGATTCTGCAATGTGCTATGTTAATCGATCATTGGATTCTTTGTTACTATGATGGAAGATATAGATGCCACAGTCTTCTACAGTGATGAAGATGATTGTTTGGATTATGGATGCTTGCACAATAATGTTGAATATGATTATGATTATGCAGATACAGAAAAGGAAACTCTATATGAATTATATCAATATTGTCTTAACCCAAGTCTATATGATACAGGATATAAGTTGTTACCTTTGTTGGGTTGCACGATCCTGTTTAGATTATTTGTTCACATTCGTAAGAGTCTTTTTCCTATGTTAAAAGTGTTATTATATTTTTTATATGTATCATTTTATTTATGTCATAATTAAAAGGATTCTTTTATATTTCAGAATACATATCATACAAGATATTTCATATATTATCAGTAATCATAGGCTTGTATATTATCCATCATTATGTGCACGAATCTTTAATTGTATTGATTGTATATGTTCTATTTTCTTATGCTATTTTATACGTGCCAAAAAAATTGCATGGTGGTATAGGAATCTTTTTACCATCTCTCTTGATAATTGCATATTGGTATGTCTTAATAAAATATTTCTTAGATTGCTATGTGCTTATATTTCAGTAAATAATACTTCAATTTATCCTTAGTGAATTTTTTATGCAATCAGTTATATGGCATAAAATACGCAGTGTTGTTATGATTATGGTGATGAAAGGAATTAGTGTCGCCATTGATAGAAATGACTTGAACAACTTACCAGATATTTATAGTTACATGGGTTACATGTTCTGTGGTGTAACTTGTCTATTTGGACCATGGGTATCCTTCAAGGATTACTTATTATTGCGTTGTTCTTCTAACATTCAGGTATATAAGTAATTTCCAGTACTATAAATTTTATTATACTATACAAAAATATATCTATCAATGAAAAAATAATACTATTTTTAAATATAGTTTAGAAAATAATGATTTATAAATATAAAAATTCCATCGTAGGCAAAATGGTGGATAATATGTGGCATGGGATATGCTTTCCTTTCCTTTGTCTTCCTAAGCATTTCAAATTGTTGGATGCATTGGATATTTGTAGATAGTTTTTGGAAGTTAGTATCTATAATTTCAAATTTTTTATAAATATTTAATTTTTCTATTTCAAGTAAAAAATGTTCTTCTTTTCTTCAAGATTCTTTTTTCTCAATTTTTTCAGGTGGTTGATAGCATATCGAGATGCATTGTCTTTTAGAGCATCCCACTATTTTGTATCATACATAGGTTCAGCATTGTTAATTTTAGGTGGATTTCCACTTTCATCATCAATGATAGTTAAGCCTTTGTATATTGAATTTCCACACTCACTTGTACAGGTTGTCATTTATTGGAACATTCCAATGCATTATTGGTTAAAAACTTGTAAGTATAAATTTCAAAACGGAATATTAATTTTGTTTAAAAACAATCATATAATAAAGTGTTCAAAATATAAGAATAAAAATAAAATTTAAATTAGTCCTAATATTATTTTTTTACAGATATTTTCCGTCCAAGCATGAAAAACATTGGAACGTTTGGTGCCGTGATTTTCACATACCTAATAAGTTCTCTTTTACACGGATTAAACTTTCAACTGGCAGCTGTATTACTTAGTCTAGGATTTTATACATATATTGAATTTCAACTCAGGGCTATGCTTGCTGATACTTTTGACGCTTGTATTGCGTCCAAACAGTGTGCCAAACGAAAATGCATACATAAACATAATTCTTCTAATTGTTGGTGGGTGTTTATAACGAATTTGGCATTCTCCGGATTGGCGATGTTTCACTTAGCTTATTTAGGTCTCATGTTTAATACATCCGATCTGCAAGAAACAGGGTACAATTATAGCCATACTATCGACAAGTGGAATGAACTCGGATTCGCTAGTCACTGGGTAGCTCTAGCTACATATTGTATATATTTTTTAATGAAATAACCAATTATTTTATATATTGATAATATGAGCAATTAATTTTATTAAGGATGATGTACTTAATTATTTCTTTTATAAAAAAAATAAATCATTTATATATAATCCAAATCTACAATTTATTTTATAAATATTTTTCTGTCTATAATTTAAAAAAAATGTGAATAATATATATTCTAAGATAATAATTATATTATTTCTAATATATATAAGATAAATATATAAAAGTTTCTAAAAAAAGGTGCAAATTCAAATGTTTTTAAATAATGAGAAAATGAACTGGTATAATATTATTACAGTTATCTGCACAAATAAAAGAATTTTTTGTATATGATAACATATATACAACAAGAATTGCCTTACAAATTTTCGAACTAATTTATTATTCATATTGTGTGAATTATCGTGACTACATAAGAAGTTAATTGTCGCATATAATCATCTATACTTACTTATCTATATTAATCTTCAATACTTACATTTCTAATTCTAGAGATCATCTAATTGTCTTATATTGACAATTGTTCTACAATTATTGTTAAAATGTTATTAATGTTAATTATTGCTATATTTGTTAGTAAGTTTTTTCAAGATTTAAATTTATTAAGAATGCGTTTTTAGAAAATCAGTACTTATTAAACAAATATATAATATTGTCAATTGAAAGGAAATTGGAAGGATAAAGTTCATATTGTACATATAATTATATCTTAATGACAATTTTAATAAAATAGTCCTTATTGTTACATAACATTACGTGTGTCGGTCATATAATGATATAGTAATATATATACATATATATATATATATATATATATATATATATATGTATGTATGTATAAACTATAGCAGCGCAAAGTAATTTGATATAACAATGATTGCAATCACAATCGTGTCATCATAATGTATGATAACAATCGAATACAATAGTAAGAGGAATAGTAAGAGTGAAAATAATAATATATATATACTGTACAATTTTTATCGGATGCATCGATAATCATGGATGTGCCATGATCTTTTTATTTTAAAACAATAAACTCTTGGCGAATACGCTGTACTCCCTTAGCTCATCTAAGGATATATGTATAACAACCACGTTCATGCATGTCCAAAAAGTAATAAATATTTAAGTAATACAGATCTATTCTTTCTCGTCGATATATGTTTTTATTTAAAGCAAAAAAGCATATGTTTGCATGTATTCTTTTCAGATATATAGCAAAATAAGTATAGAACACAAGCACAAAAAGAATAGATCTACTAATCTTAAATATAGAGAAAAAGAGAATAACAACAATACCTGAAATTGTGCTCTTTTGACGCGCATAAACGTAGTTAAATGAAAATAACAGAAAATAACGTTCGAAAAATATGCTTGATATGTGAACCGACGGCTCTCTCTCTTTCTCTCTCTCTTTCTCTCTCTCTCTTTCTCTTTCTCTCTCTGTTTGCATAATTATATATACTTAACGATTAATATTAATTAATATTTACAAATCTCAATAAAAGCAAAAAGAATGCCAAAAACATTAAAGTGGTTCTAATGCTGTTGATTCAGACGATGATATTGTCTATACATCTTTCATCTTCTAAACAAATATATAGATATACATATCTCTCTGAATATCTTTAAATAAAATCTAGGAAGTCTAATCTCGTAGGCTTAAAAATATATTAGACCGTGGTTCCCGTTAAACCATGTCTTCTTATCAATGCATTTAAGGTGCAAACTATGATTCGTGTAAATTCCTGTAAAGTTCAACAAAAAATAGAACTGGTATTCCTTCGAAAACTACACATATTTATATGTACCGGGCACAAATTCGCTGCCCTTTCGTCTCAAATTTTCAATGTTTAATTTTTCTTATTTGCTTTCTCGTACCCCCGTAAAGCTATACATATGTATTTAATCGCAATAAATATGTACAGCAATCACAGATGAAATCGGATTGCAAGGCGAATAAGGCACGACTTTTAAGAAGCAGTTACCTAGATATACGCTATCACTATACTTCCATTAAACGAGTTTAACGCTAACCCGATTCACAATTCCTAATGCCATTCATCCGCCGTTACTATACTACTATAACTCGAGCTACTTTAATCTATAATGTTCGCAATATAATCAAGAGGAAATAAGATATAAAGCACAGTTTGAGTGATACAAGAAATGTACACTGGTGCGAAGCCAGATATCCTATATAATAAAGCATACATAATGTGTATTTCGATGTGCACGATAGAGCACTCTCTGACACAAATGTCTCGAATTATTATGTAGGCTGTCATTTATTTTATATTTACACGCTGGAGAAAAAAAGGTGTTTTTTTCTCGAATCCTATGTAAATCTCGGTTTGATAAAGTAGTGATTATTTCATTCTACTTTTTTTTATAATACATATGTAACAACGTATTGTTGAATAAAATATTTAAGAGTTATTAGCGCGAGATTTATGAGACTAGTCGTTTTATTTAATGTGATAATATTATGATATATTTAACATTGCCATCGTTAACGTTTATTTCATTTTTAAAGACTTTACAGTAGGATACAGATTTCTTGTGAAATGGAAATGAGAAATTCGCTGCGACTACAGAGGAAAAGGAGATAACGATTGCATAGGATCCCATCAAAAATTGTAATAACTTTCCGCGGCATTGAGGAATCGAGAAAGAGAAAAAGAGAGAGAGAGACAGAGACAGAGAAAAAAGAGATGAGGTGAAAAGAGAGAGGATGTGTGTAGAATTCAAACAAAAAGTAAATAAAACGAGCACTGTTAGCCGCGCGTTCTATTTTTGCCACGCAGCTTCCACTAGCGTCATCATGAGATTCTTTTCGCGATGGCGGTCGGAGTAAAAAAATCACGATATCGCGTTGGCAAAACGAGTTCTCGCCAATAGGACGAAAAACGAACAACAAGAAAAGATGAACGAATAATAATAAGACGAAAATGAGAGACGGACGTGGAGCATGGAGTTCTCGTTGAAATAACTTCAAGTCAGCGCAGAAAAAGTGTCGTTCGGATAAATTAGTATATAAATAGCGGCCGTAATATCTCCGAGCTGAATATCTCCTCCTATCCAGGAGACAGGATTCTCATGGGTTTCCCATCTCTGGTCTTTTTGTCTACCCCATTTTGGTCATTGTACTATTGCGAGAAAAAAGAAATTGTTCGTGTGAGGAAACATTGGAATCGAGCGTTCGGTTTATCAGCGCGAATCTCCGGCAACACATGCAAAAAAATATGGGAAGATTAATAAGAGCAGCGAGCGTACAATTTAATTAGGCTGTGCAATAATTGACGGAAAGTAACACAAGATATTTAATTTTCTATTTATGCATATGTTAAATAAAGCAGCGTTTTGGAAAAAGTTTACGAAAATTTGCATTATGCGTGGAACTTTCCTATATAAAGGAATAAAAACAAATTTTTCTAGATAAGAAACATATATTGATATACATAGGTGTGTGTGTATGTGTGTGTGTGTGTGTGTGTGTGTGTGTGTGTGTGTGTGTGTGTGTGTGTGTGTGTGTGTGTGTGATCCGATTATCCGTGATTATATTTTTTTAATTTTTTGCCAAATTAATTAATTTATTTATTAACTAATTAATTTGAAGAAATCTACCATTATTTTCTGTTTTAATTTGTTGTCACTAATATTGTTGCAAGTGCCAATTTATTTTTGACGAATTTTGTGAAAATTCCGAGAAAAAGAAAATATTGTTTTTTATTTGTTAGGAAGACTATAGAAGATTATTACAAATCTACTAACGTGTTAAATGCGCGACGAAGAAAAAAATTAAAAGCAATAATATTGGACTAATAAACGTCAAATTAAAGACATAATATCAATTAATATTCAATTGTTCGATTTTAAAAGAAGATATTTCCTTTCAGCAAAAATTTATAAATTTTTTTTTAATTCGTTACCATTATCTCTACATAGTGAATTATATAAACTGAAATATGTTAATCGAAGTATTTATACACAAGAAATATTCATTATAACTTTGTAATTTGCTCCGATGAGATAGAAATGCGACGAGTTTTTAATATTCTCACGTACTGATTATTTTTTCACGAATAATAAGATATATACGCTTCGTCATACATTATATAATTCTTATAATTCTCTTTTTATAAATTCACATTTTATATACAGTTGTGTTTATTTCAAAATTTTCCACTCGTTTATTTCATGACCATTTTTTATGAAAAATGCCAAAAGACATCAATTTTGTTTTCAAGAAGGACATTTAAATACATTAAATGCAATGAAATTTTTTCATCTCCTTCGTCGGAGTAGCTATCCCTTCAAAAATCTGAAATGACAATAGGGATATATCATTTTAAAGGTCTTTTGATTCTCTGTACACTCTCTTTTTCTTTTTTTATTTAAGTGAATATTTTTCGAGAAATCGCACTTACAAGTTTTAGGTATCAAAAAAGTTTTACGTACAAATTTATTTTGGAGTAGAATTTATTTATTAGTCATTTATTATAACAAATGTTCTACATTATTTTCTAAATAATAATATAATTTTCAAATTCTGAACAAACATTTTGAAAAGTTTCTACAGAAATAGCTTTGCATTCTTGTACAATTCTTTGACGCATTTCTTCGTTTACATTTTCCATTATTATATGTTTCATAAACAACGGATTTTAAATGCCCCCCCTAGTAAAAATCTTTTTCAAAATGTTCGTCCAGAATTTGAGAATCGTTTATATTATTGTTTAAAAAACAATGGAGAACATTTTGAATTTGTTATAAATACCACTTATATATACCATTTAACTCATATTGCCGGTTAAAATTTTTGAAGGGATAGCTATCCCTATGATGAGGATGAAAAAATTTCGTTGCATTTAATGTACTTAAATGTCCTACTCGAAAACAAAATTGACATCTTTTAATATTTTTCACAAAAAATAATCAATCGTGAAATAAACGGGTGGAACACAGTTTTAAAATGAACACCCTATATAATGTCGCGTTTTTATTTTCAATCAAAGAAATAATCACCATTCTATCAACACGATGACTTTTTCGTAAGAATGGCTTTCTCAAAAGAATTGTAATTGCATAAATTTGTATTCTAAGTTTACATTGTAGACTCTTGAGCTATCGTGTACAAAATGTGCTAGAATGGAAAGTACTTTGATGTATACATGCATTCAAAAGATTTATGGTGTTTACCTGTAGTTTGATGTGTTTCTTGCGCTCTTCTATTAAATTCTCTCAAAGGCGAATGAAAAGTGGCGCGAGGGAGACTTTTGCAAAAAATAGATTAGAATTCTTATTTTATGAAATTTTTAATCACATAATATGGCTTAAATATCGGAATAAGTAAAGAATTAGCTTAGTCTGTGAAAAATAACATTTTTATAAAATTCGTTTAAAAAATTAAAATAAAGAGAGAAAATATAATATAAAATACTGAAGAAAGACATTTATTTATAAGCGAGTCATAACTTAGAATTTTGAAGATTAGGAATTTAATTTCGCATAGAATGAAACTTTGTCCATTGCTATTGAGTCGTTTATTTCTGATAGGAAAAAACTACTGTTTTAAAATGTACAGAGATCGATATTGACATCTTATATGCTTTTCTCTCAAGAGAAATATAAGAGAGTCCGATCGTCGATGTGTGATCAATAACATTATTTCTTTATTAAGAAAGTCTTTCTTATAACAATTGTTTCTCCTTTTTTAAACAATAAAGTATTATATATTCGAGTAAGAGTATGTAGAGCATTCTTCCTCGAATAAATGACGAATTTCGTCAAATCTCACGCCAATTTTCATTAGTTGCAAACTATATACATATATAATATGTCACATGCACTCTTATTTAGGGGCACACGAAATATAATAATCTAATAGTAATCTTTACGAATTCGATTAAGTATTTATAACAAAAAAATTGCATATAATTAATTTGTAAAGATCACTAGATTATTTAAATCGCCGATTCCGGTATGTATATTAACGAAATGCACTTTTCGCTCTACGAATCATGAAGACATAGAATGGGACGTTGAGATAGTCCTTCTCGTTAATGTCAATTCAAGAGCTTTCTATTCCTAGTAGCATGAGAGCGAATTATACGTCACCATGCATTTTTTTAGCGCCACAAATACTGGTAAGTGTATTACTATTACTTCGATTATCGACTCATTCCGATGCTGCGAAAGAAGATAGAAATCAGATTACAGTCTGGATACACGTTACATTTCCTTGAAGGGAAGCATCCCACGAAATGGAGTCGACATTCGGCATTTCCACTTCATCGTGGAAGGCGTGCACATATCCACGCTTCTTCTGACTTTGACTTTTTATCATCAACAGGAAAAAGTACGTGGAATCGCGCACCAATTGACAACACGGGTCTAAGTTTGTGAGAAACGAGAATGAAGGAATTAATGGAATGTAAGATTTCGTCGGATATAGCGAAGAGAAGGATATCCGCGAAATCAATCGATTATCATCTTCTGGCTATCGTCGTCTCGACTTTCCCGTCGATGAGACGAGAAAGAACCGCGAGCGCAAAGTACTTTTAACGAAGAACGATTACGTCGACGGTGCAGATCACTCACAGATGAGTGATGGTGATCTCGTCGTCAAGGTCATCTTTCTCGTCGTCGGTCTCCTCCGGCTGATTCGCCTCGATCTGGGCGGCCTTCGGGTCCTCGGCAATTGCTTTGAGCCGTCGTTGCTTGCGCCTGTGCAGCAATTCGACAATGATGTAGCCTATACTGCCGGTAATCAGTACTGTCAGCATTACATACAGCTTCATACGGGCGCAGAGATGCGTGCTATACGCATAGGCGATCACGAAACCGGCGCTCTCCCATAGCCTGTAGTTTGAGAAGGCCGCCTCCTTGTTACGTCTGAACAACGTGCCATAGAGTCCTGTAAAAATAAATAAATCGCCAGATGAGAAAGATTTAAGAATGATTCCGTGTCCAAGAAATATTCATCCGAAAAGAAAAATTCAGAGAGAAGCTCTTGTTATTAAAACGACATTAAAATTATTTTCTAAATTTTTTATATGATTACATTAATGATCTCTAAAGATATCAAAATATAATCTCTGCGATGCAATATATATTTGAATATCGTGAAATTCTCTGTTTGTTTCACTTTCTCTACTTATTAGGAAATTTGTGTGATCGCGCTTAGCTAACAAAATCTTATTTGTTGCAGAGCAGTTATAATTATCGGATTCACGATTTAGCACGCAATTTACGGCAATGCAGATGGATGCATCGAGATTGGCGCTTTAAGACATCATCGTCTCGTCCGATGGCGAATTAACAAGCTCGCAGCTGCCGTTTCGTCAAGAATCGAATCCTTGACCCATCGACACTATTGTTAGACGCGCCGTCAGAAAGCATACAATGTTGCCAACGATTTGCAATTTAGCATTAAAAGGAAAAAAAGAGCCAAGAAAAATCTATGAGAAAAAAGCAGAACATGTGCAAGATATATATTAATCCATAGCAATGACTAATTCTAATTGCTCTAAATATATCTATGTTTAATTAAATTTGAGGGAATGCCCCATTCAAACACCGCTGAAATGGAATTTTCCAATTTAATCTTGAAGCCTTGCATAATAATAATTTGTTATTTTCAAATTGCCGACATATGATAGAAAAAAATTTTCCATCAATGATTGATATAATTGGAGATTGTTTAGCAATATGTTTTTAGAGAGATATGAGAGAATATTTTTTAGATTTTTAAATAATAATGATATATCTCATGCGTGATTGCTAATTATCTATAATAATATGTTGAAATTAGAAATTCGCACGGTGTACGCGCGATGCACGCAATTATTCCAACAAAGCCGGATACGGAGTAAATGTAACTGTCTATATTGTGTGCTTTAATGTACAAGTAACTGGATAAATTGATTTGCATATCGATTTCTGCAAAATCTCGGAATACTATTCGAACATATCGTAGAGCGGTAAATCCTCGCAGAAGCTATAATACATGCTAAAGCTAAAAAAATGCCCGAAACGCTTGCTCTCTGTTCGTATAATTATATAAAAGTTCTAATTACAGATATAAAGACAAGCCTCCTGTGCACAAATAAAGTAAAATTGTTATGTATATCATTTAATTATTTGTAATAGTTGAAAAATTGTAGTCACAAACGAATAGAAATTAAAGTTTTGAATTATTGACGTTGCTTGAATATTTTGCTTTCATCTTGAAGCAAAAGAGAATTATTATTTTATTCTAACGATAAAAAGAATCTAAAAAATGTTGATTATAATAAGATATATGGATTATGGATTTTTATTTACTAATCATAACTGAACAAATTAATAGAAAATTAAGTACAGAAAATTAATATTGAATAGTTCATTTTCTTGTAATCTGTGTATTATCTTTGAAAAAAATTTTAGGCATGATCTAATTAACAAAGATCAGAATTATTGTCTTTCCGCTGATACATAATATACATATAAATATATGTAACCCGACCATTCGAAAACGCCATTACAATATCCGTCAAAAATCGCAAATAAATCGACATTTGCGAAATATTATATTGATGATTTTATGTTTGTTATGAATTTTCTTTTCTCAGACTGAATTTTCTTTTCTCAGAACAGATCAATGACTCCTTAATTTAATAAAGTCATTAATATTGAAAAGTAACTTTTTTTTTATTTCTAGACTAATATTTTTTTATGAACGTGTTAAGAACGTCTGTCAAGTATTCATCTGATTTGTCAATATCCATATTAATTGTGAACAAATAAATGTGAGAAACCGATAAATCTTGGATGGATCAAATAGCTTAATAAGAAAAACTCATGAATTCGGTTTTTTTCAAAACAACAAATAAAATGAAACTGAATAAATCCGCGTATTCAAAATTAAATTTGTCTATCTCTCTTCATATTATACTTTAAATTCAATAATAATGAGATGTAATTATTTAATAATTAAATAATTTTTTTTTATTATGTGAGCAATAACACACCACATTTGATTTCAATCCAATATTAATCTGACTAATTTTTTAACCTATGATATAACAATGTACCGTTTATTATACTCGATTATGCATATTATTATTTGCAAGTTGTAAAATTAATAACATCCATCACGTAATTTTAATTTCGTATGGTGTTCAATTACTTCAATAGTTAAAATGATTGCTATAAAACTGACGTATCGAAAATAACAATTCTAAAAACTATTATGGCAACGCATATACATAATCTTTTTTATATTATATATAAAGTTTTCTTGTATATATATTTTTATTTTTTATTTAACATATTAAATACTTGCCGTTGACCTGCGTTTGCCATACAGCATCACCCACGCCCCACAGTCCCGAAACCGAAAAAAAGATATAAGGGTTATCAGGATGAGGCTTCCACATGAGAAGGACGACTATGAGACAGGCATGAACGATAGCGCCCAGTGCCATCAGCGGCTGTCTGCCAACAAATTTCATTAACGAGCCGAACAGCAACGAACAGCCAGCATTGACTACCCCGAAGCAGATCATGACGTAGCCGACTCTGTGAACACCTAGAGCGCAGGAGATGTATGCCTGGAAAGACACAAAAAAATTCGATTTATTATTTCTTTTTTTTCTGAATCGCCAAAAATAATTTATAATATCCAAGTTCATCGAACTCTTTCTCTCCTTCTCTCTTTTTACACGTTGAAGATTGTTAATAAATTAAATTGATAATTAGAATAGATTTTCATTCACTTTAAATTGTTAAATGCATTTTCATTGTGCATGATTTTCATTTTGCATTTTGATTATGTAATCGACATTAAACCATTAAAACAATTTAATGGCTACGTAATAGAATAATTTTATATTGTGAAGAAGAGGAAGAAAGAGAAAAAAATTGAATAAGTGTAATAAAAACATTTTAATTTTTATATATTATTAATATTAAGAAAAGAATTATAAAAATATATATTTTGAAATATTTATATCTAGAGAAAAATCTTAAGAAGAAATAATTGGCTATTTTAATATTAAGATTTAGATAATTAGATTTAATAATAATTTTTTAGTACTAATAAATAACAAAAGCAGTAAAAATAAATCAATCAATTCTTAGACTATCCATAATAATCAACTATAATAAAATTCATTATAAAAGATTTGTATAAAGAACGACATAAGAAAGAGAATAGGACTAAACATTTTTATGCGAAGCAAAAAATTAATAATGAATTATGTAATAAAAAATAATGACTCTTAAATTTTTTACTAAAGAAATGATCAAATGTCTAATGGATGTTATACGTCCCAAATTCGCATCGTTAAGACACAAGATTCGCGAGATGTAATCGATCACTTTCAGTTCTATTGCTTTCATGTATTAATAGTATTCGTATATATGTTAATTGAATTTTCAAACGAAGGATGAATGTCTTCAGATGATAATGGTATTAGACGTCATGTAGATAGTAGAATAGTAAATCTATTTTTTCTTATGTATATTCTATATATTGAATGAATTGATGCCCTTGTTAGCTAATGTCAGTCTGTCTTCGTACGTATATATCAACGTTTTCTCGCAATTATAATCCCATTAATCAAATTTTAATACAATGTAATAACGGACTGAGAGCAAATTTTCTGTGCAAATTTTGTAATCGTATTTAAACGTATTTTTTTTTTCATTTAAATCTATTATAATACGTGAGATATGATTCTAAGGATACTATAGAGATTCTGAAACGCATGTCCTTGAATCGAGACATTATAAAAATATGCTTTTTTTATATTACATCAGAATATCTGATTATGTTTTTTTTCGTTTAGAAAAAAATAAAAACTGTTAATGATATGCTAAAAAATAAAACTGCATAATCATATATATTTTATGGAATATTAAATAAGAAATTGCATATTTTTGCAATATTGTATTTCGTTATATGAAATTTGTGTATGTCGTATATTCACACCAAAAGTAATTAACGCGAAAAAATACTGATGATTCAAAAATAATTATTCATTGACATATTTATCATTAATCATATACCTAACGCATTAATTAAATTCGATTTAACTGAGTAAAATATTTATTTATTAATTCTAAATGCAACAAATTGTGAAAAATGTTTAATTCTTCGTTCACATACAGTTATTAATAATCTAAGATATTATATTCGACATAAATATGTGACGAAATGTATTCTAACACTGCAAAACAATTTTAACTGATTATATATTTTTCTATAAAAATTGAATATAAAATAGCGTCATAAAAACTACGTGCGATTATCTTTCGTAATATACAGACATTCTTCTTTGCATACTGTCAAATGTATTATTAATCTTAAATGATGAAAGATACATTAAGCACATTTATCACGTAATTATTTTGGATCTGACCATTAATGCATAAATGCATAATTAAATGCACATTCGAATGAACAATTTAAACAAATCCTTCGTAATTTCGAATCCAAATTTTTATGTTTATACAGCAGCTATTTCGAAGGATTAACACCTTATTTAATACCTTATAATCAAAAATCATTTGATTCAACATTTAATTAAATACATTATTTTAAATATTTTGATATTATTGCTTAAAAGAACGTATTTTTCTTATATTAACATATAACCAGGCTGTTAAAATAGTGATTCATTTGTACCATATCGGTTTTTGTGTATTAAATGCAAAAGAGAAATGCTTTTTGCAATATGTAATAGCATTTGTTATAAAATTGTAAAAGCAACATGAAACTGTTGCTGATTTAAAAAATTTGCATGCAATTAAGAAAAAGATTAACATATTTTTGTTTGAAAAAATAAATATGACAAGCGTCAGCAGCAGTTTTAATACTAACTTATAAAAGTGTCTTATGGTTCACTGATTAGAAATAAAAAAAACTCGTTTCAATCATATCAATCCTATCAATCATATCAATTCACAGTCATATCTGTTTACTTAGTAATTTCCTTTATATTACGCATGTATTCAAGTATTTTCATTTCCATATATATATAAACATGGCGCATATCTTATTATGTCATCCTGTAGCTCAAGGCAAACAGCTATCTCATTAAGACAGTGCAATAAGTAAATCTCTTTTCGAAGACATCTTAATCAATGTGCGAATGAATATTTCTGACTAACGTAAACGGTAAATGTACTGATGATAAATTAGTAATTATTAGTAATTATTAGTAATTATAAATTAGTAATTATTAGATATTTTAAATATTAATGCACTTCTTGTATCACATGGAATATATTTTTAGAACAAAACAATAAATTAAAAAAAACGCAATTAATATGATGTTTAATGTATATTTAATAACTCTATTTATATTGATATAAAGAATATATTTTCCGTGACAAAAGTAATAAATTCAAAGAAACGTGATTATATGATGCTATATATGATATATATGATGACTCTTTCTCTCTCTTTCTCTCTCTCTCTCTATTTATATATTTATTTATTATACTTCAAAATATGTTTTAAATGCATATACATTGCTAAGAATATCATGGAAAAATAGAAAAAATTTGAAACTTGAATTTCTCTGAGAATAAGATTTCGTAAACTTCCATATCTAATAAACATTTTATGCTGTTTCTCTTTCTCTCTTTTATTTATAGTAGTATTAAATAGAATTTTTTTAATAGTGTTCAAAATAAAACAGAAATTTAAAATTAATTAAAGAATTGTATGCTTAAATTTTTGATGTCAAATCATCGCCCTTAGCTATATCAGTTCACGATTAAAAATTCTTTCGATCTTCAAATTGTAAATCAACCATTTATAGCTTCATTGAGTTCCATGGACCGTCATTGCATTCTTGATATAATTCTCGACCGGACAACATCCGGGCAATTGAATGGACTTAAACGTATGTGTTCCACGGCGATATTCACGATATCGAAGAACGGAGCGAATCGTGGTCATGAACATGCATACATATGCGTACACGCAATCCGGTGCACGTGTTGAAGAAATACTGGTACACGATATTCCAGATATGGAAGCAGCGAGAATAAGCTCGCTATTTATAACAAGTTCAGCACTCAGCTGACTCAGCGAAGTCTGCAATCTCCTCTTCCCTCTTTTTTCCTCTCTCTTTCTCTCTTTTCTCTCGTCTCATTTTCTCTCTTTACGCGCATTTAATTGTCCAATTACTCGATTCCCCAGAGTCCAAGATGTCGTGCAACTTGTCGGCGAACCAGTTTCGAACGAGTCGCGATTCGCAAGCCCGAAGCACTTTTGTAATGATGCAGGATCGCTTAATAACAAGGGGGTTTATTCGAGACGCATGACCTTCCTCGATTAATTCTAACTTTTTACGTGAAACTTATTTCTATAGTTTCGACGAAGATTGCCAATAAATATCTGACAATTCTAAAAAATGTACTTAATTCGATCATTCTTAAAAATAAACCTATCTTGAAATGAAAAATTCCAGAAATTAGAAAATATTCATGAATAATTCTTAAAAATTAAGAAATATTCTCTTAATATTTTCTTTAAAAAATCTAAGCATAATCATATCCAAAAATCTAAACTAAGTCCAGGCTTTTATTGTCTCAAATATATTTTTTCCTAAACAAATATTTAAATATTTTCAACTAACATCATTTTAAAATTTAAAAAGTATAACTGGAACTCTAACTGGCACTTTCAGAGACAAGAAAGAAAAAATAAAGTTGAAAGGATGAGCTATAAAACTGTTGATCACAGTCGTATCATAAAAATTAAACGTCGCTAAAACGTATTTTTGCCCGCAAAATACTATATTTGTAATATCCATGAAAACATAAAGAGAAATCCAGTATCCATTGTTGAGCGAATCGATTACCGGATAGATGGTATATAAATTAATCTTTTTAATCGAAATAGCATATAGCTTGGTATAATTACCGCAATTTTTTTCTTCGATACGACATTGAGACACTTTAACATTGTTAGAGTAACTATTAATTACATTCTTTATGCTACGCGTAAATAAATATCACATAATATCCTACTTTCAAATATATCTCCTTGTTTAATAGTTATTCAAAGCATGTCAAACACACACATTTCCAGATCAAAAAACATCTGTTTTAAAAGAAAAATTTGCTTCTCTATTATACATTTCTTTCTTTTTTATTTCATTTTTCTTGTTTCGCTTTCGTAGCAAACATACATCTCAATTAATGTATATTTACTTTCTAAATCTAGTTCGTATACTATCATGCGATATACTTAATCATTTTCTTTCCTAACAAACATTCTAATGTTTTTCTTCGTTATCATTTTTTAGCCAATTATATTCTAATATAGTTTACTATAGCTTCTCAGTCTCATATGTACACGCGCGCGAACGAAAAAAAATTTTATCTTTTAAAATATAGTAAGTTTCTTTCTATCTGTTTGTAGTGTATCTGATATTCGAAAAATTTAATTTTAGATTGGTAATCATATTTATTTAGAAAAATTATTTTATTTAAAATGCAAAAGAAACAGATTGCTTTTCAAAGTATTATAAATTACTAAATTTTTTCTTCTTCTCTTTTGATTTTTCGTGACAATTTGGAGAATTTTCTTTTAACGTATTTTTGATAAAAATTTTAATTTAAGCAATAATTTAACATGCATCTTGTTTTACATTTTTCTGTTTTAATTAGATTGCTAAAAAATTAACCGTTTGAATTGTTGATATTAATATTATACCAAATTACGGAAAAATATAATTAACGAAATAGCTTATAAAAGTTCATATATATATATATATATATATATATATATATATATATATATATATGACCTTTAATACATAATTAATCTTTATTTGTATACAAATATAATAATTAATGTAATAAAAAACGCTATTTATTCTTGTTCGCGTACTTATTGAAATCGATCGCGTTCAAGTTTCGAGATTTTAATGCCCGCATAACACAACAGGATACGCGCAATATATACATGTATATGTTTTCATTTATTGTAGTTATAACTTTTCACGTCTAAAGAAAAAAAACATTAGAATTTTTAGACCATTGAAAATGATTTTATGTCGAAATTAATTTTTCAATGTATCTTATATTTTAAATATGACATATCTCTCCGAGATAAAATATTATGAAGTATATATGTTCTATTAATACTAGAATATTTTTGGAGATATATATTCTATATAATATATATATATATATATATATATATATATATATATATATATACTGCATGATCACATGCATATATTACTTTCTAATAAAGTCATTCTCGAAAAAGATAATAAAAATTTAGTCTCTTGTATTTATAATCGATAACACGTGTTTTCCGGAAGATGATCGTCCTTGCGAATCTCCACGCATCGAAAAACGGCGTTCTATATCTAGCGTAAGTTTTAGTGCTGATCTTTTTATTGTAATTTATTGATTGCAATTTGTCGTTATAAGTTCCCATAACGAAAAGAATCAAAGAGAAAACTCATGAGAAAAGCAAAATAAACACAAATTTTACTGTAAGAAATGCTATTTTTTGTCTTACAGACGGAAAATCTCCTACAAAATATTGAAATCTTTTTTATTTAAATTTTTTTCAATTATTGATATCGATATATGTACTGTAATTTAATATTTTAATATTTAATATTTCCTCTCATTATTTTTCTTTCTAAATTTAATCTCATATACGATTGTGCCATTAGTGTTTAGTTTTGAATTATACATGTATTTTTGTTAAAGTAAATCTTTTATACAATTTGGAAATCTTCCATATAGATATATCAATAAATGAATAAATAAAATAAAATAAAACAATAGCATAAATGCGATCAAATTAAATATCTTACTAACAAAATTAATTTATTTCATAGATATAACATATTTTAATAGATATTTTTTAAATTCAATCTCTCTCCATAATCACAAATAAAACAAAATTTTCATTAATAATTTATATTCATTAATAAATTTATTTTCATTATGAAATTTTCATTAATATATTTATATTTTTTAAATTCATTAATCTATTTAAAATAAATATTTGAGAAAATATATGTAAAGGGATTTAAATAACAATTATTTAATCAATCATTGATTATATGTTATACATAAAATGCCTTTGCCAAGGCATAGAAAAGAATCAAACAAAAATTGACAATAATCCTATAGATAATGGAAGCGAAAACTGACAGTAATCCTATAGATAATGGAACAACAAATCTTCACCTCGCGATCAACAATCAAAACGGAGTAAAAGATCTAGAGAGATCCGACGTCATCGGCTATGTCGTCGACTTCGCGTTCGCAATCTTGATGACAGTTTCCATGCCGACGAAAAGAAAAGTGTCCACTTATTTCCGCTACGGTCGAAGACTACTTGCTGCTATCGACGATGAAGAGGACGAAGACTATCGTCCCGACTTGCAATAATTCGAGGTCGGATCGGGGAAGGCAGACTCTGGTGCCAGTTGAAACGCACAAAAAGAGAAAATCTACTTAGAGACCAACCGGTTATAGAAGCTTGGCGATCGATTGTGAGAGGCTTCCATCATACATTTCTTCTTCTTCAAAAGTAGGTTATCCACAGATTCTCAGGATATGCTTCAAGAAAGGCTCATTCTCTAAATATCTTTTAAATACTTGATTGTGAGTATAATTGATAAATAATTTTATTCAATTTTATTTTGTTTTAGAAAATGTAGATCACTGATTTGAGAGTTTCATTAAATATCTTCAATATCAATATTTACATTTCCGATTACAGATTTGCAATATAAATAATCATCTGACTTGCGTGTTGCGATTGTATCATTACTTTAACTCTAATGTAGTAAAACCGAACGTTTTTTTCAAGTTTTCGCATAGGCTACAAGTTCTCCTTTGTATCGACACGTATCCGTCCTATCTCATATGAAATGTTCCTCCTATGATCAAGTTTTTACCATTCTCGAAGACTGCCATTTGTCATGATAAATAATTACATTTGCCATAGATCACAGCGATGTACGCTATTGTGAAATGGCGCCGATAAATCTTCGTGCGCGTTTAACGCCATAAATAAAACCGGACAGTACGTGCTCGAGAATAAGAAATAAAAATATTATAAGCGAGAATACGGAACTCGGCTTTTTTCTTCACCTCTTTTTTTATCTCCTCGTCACTCGATGACGGCTCGATAATAATTATGGAGGTAGATTGAGTTGACGTCATTGCATTTCGTTAATGTTGTATCCTGGTTCGAAATCAAGGATTTGCTTATCAATGATTCGCGAGAATGCTATGGATCTAATGGCTCGCAATAAAAGGTCGATACATGGAATTGCAATGTATAGGTTGCAAAATAGAATACCATTGTTTTCAATAGCGATTGCAATTTACAATGTATGCGAAAGGGAGTGACCGGCACTAATTTATATGGCGATCGAAGCTGTCATTAGAAAGTGCTACACATTTCAGTATCCATAAATGAATCTATCTATTATAAATTCATTTATTCATATTCATCTATCAATATCAAACGATAATAATTATTATTAATTATGTGAATATTTCATAAAATGTTAAATTTAAGAATAGAAGATTTTTTTGATATTCTTTGTTAAAAAATAAAGAATTAGAATTCTTTTTTACTGTTATCATAAGCATATAATACATGTATATATATATATACATATATATATATATATATATATATATATATATGTTGCATTCAATTAAAAACTTTCATCGATTTATATATATCAAAAAGATAAAATCAAATATTGCGTAATATAAATATTTTTTCTTTCAATTAATATCAGATCTTATAGAAATTACATTTTTAATATTAATTTATGTCGATAGAAATATAGAACGAGAGCGATTTAAAAATTTCATTTACGCATTTCAAAAACTCACCTGCGTAAAATCGGCGCCGATGAAAGCCTGCTCCATACCGATCCATACCGTGATCGGTATTAATAATTGTTGATAAGGCTTCTTTAACTGGTAAGCTGTAGCAGAGAGCAATTGAATACCGCTTATTTCTTGACTATCCGACCGTCGTTGCTTCTCGCCGTACCTGAAAGATGATTGAAAATTCTATGAGCATTAAAATGTCTTCTCAAGACGCTAAAATACTATCTCTGTACCTTGTTCTAAAACTTAATTGATTTAGTTTAATTCTGTATTTGAATACAAGTCTATTTCTAATTTTCGCAATAGATGTAAACGAAAACAAAGCGTATGAGATAATTGATCTAAAATTTAAAATTATTCAAAATTTTTTTTATATAACTATTATTACAATTATAATTTAATACTCAGCGTGGTTGCGCTTTACATTGAACATAATTTCATATGTAATACATAAGTCAAGAATCAGATGGACAAAAAAGCGGGAAACATGAATAAACAATGATGATTAACCGTCGCTAGAATCTATGATTTTCCGGCGAACTTTTGCGCTATTCGCAAAGAGGAAGAGCATGCTCGCTTCAATGTGGATTAATGACAACCGAGATTAATTATCATCGCGATTGTACCATCCATGTGCTTATTCAGTGTCCGTGCAATGCGAGCCACGCGGAAATGGATTGCGCAATTAGCAAACTTCCAATTGGCATATACTGCCATTGAACGATATCGCGTGCTCAAGCCGGATTCATTCATCGTTTCGTGTCGCAAATGTCACGTAAATGTGAACTCGGATGACATATGAGCCGATTCATATTTTCCATTACCCATAATAAATCAATGGCTGAACAAAATAATAATGCATGAGTTCTATTCTTCTCACCTTTAAAAAAATAAAAAATTTTAAAAATAAAAGTTCTGATACAATATTTTTTGTAACACAGCATAAAGAACGACATTTAATATTTCACGTCAAAAAATCATTGCAATATATTGTATATTATTTATTAATATGTTACATGTTATATAGGATGTATCTGAAATGATGCACTAAACTTTAAGAGCGTATTCTAGAGATCAAAATAAGATTTTTTTTTCTTATGAACATGGGTCCGCAAATAAACCCCTCTCCGAGCTAAAATTCGAAAGATAATATCGGTATATCAATATAATAAAGGTTTATATCATGCATCATAAGATTAATATAAATATCGCAGAGGAATGAGAGAGGCACTTTTGTACATACCGCAACAAAAAATCCGACATACAAAATCCCGATACTAAATTTAGTTGACAAACCAAATAGACATAAATCGTTCTAAAGACTTGCGAGATTCGTTGGGATTCGAGATGGTACAACGATACAATCGGTATCTTATCGCTGAATTCATAAAGTATTCTTTCGATTGCGCTAAACGGTCGACAGCTCAGCGAATATTCCACCCCAGAGGACGACATTCCTGAGAACACGTTTGCCGTATTTCTGGGCCCGGTCGAAGCCACGGCCACTGTCTAGATCCGCGGAGAACGTAATGCGAATCGACACTTATGCAAAGATAGATGTATCTCAAACTTACCTTCGGATAAAATGAGACGTATCAAAATGTGGAACAATTCGTACATATTTTTCGATAGTGATCTACATGACTGCCCCATATTATTTTTTAATCGAGTGTTAATCATGCACGTATTAATGATTTGACGAGCGATCGGGATAGATGACGAGATCTCAGACTCATACTTGATTAAAGACAAATTATTATTGTCGACACCACTTTTTATTCATATGCTGATTTCTTTTCAATGATGCTACAAAGTCGTTTCCGCGTGCAAATGTTCGACAAAATAAAGAGAAATAATGATATATTTTGCCCAGAAAGCACGAACATTTCATTAGGTGATAGTGATTAATACGATATCGATTAAATTATGTATCTAATGTACGCTGATTCCGAAGGATCTTATTTATTTCAATAGTTTTTCCAACAGTAAACTTATCTAACTAGCTCCTTAGTTGAACAGAGCCTTCTTGCAACTTGCGTGATTTCTGTGTCAGAAATTCTATCTAATATATAAAATCTATCTCTAATATAAATCTTACATTATATACCACATTAAATATTTACTATCTCTTCACACACAATTTGAAATATAATATAAATTAAAAATATAGTTTTTAATTCTCTTTTTATTAAAAATAATTTCTCAAATAATGAAAATTATTTCCCAATTTGTATATACGTGCGTATTTTCTCAAATTTAAAAATTTAATATTTCCCTTTTTCAGTGATTACAATTTTAAGAGTCTATAATATATTAAAAATATAAGTAATGTATAAAATTATTGCAAAGAATATAATTATATCGTAGCTTTTAAATCTGCTCTTTTTCATAATTATTAATTCTAATTCTCTTATTAATTCTAAAAAAAAGGATTTTTCTTTCAATAATTATACTAGTTATTTTCACATTGATTTATCGTTTTCTCCTATTGTCATGTGTAACATAAACGATAAACACGATCATACTATTCTCCAATCAGTTTGCTTCATTTCCATAATTTGCTAATTTATGCAAATCGATATTATTTGAAAATCACCGCGAAACGCTTTCCTATTTGTCGATTTATCGGTTTGTCAGAGACCGAAAAATCACAGTGTAAATGCATATTATACACGTATGTTTTTACGAAAAACGCGCTTTTATGCGCAAAATCACTACGCGTTAATCTAAATATATAATTAAAAAAGTTTCTGATTGATATTTTCAATGGACTGGTACCGCGCGATTTAATGTTATACTGTTCGATCCGTTAAGGACATTGAAGAGAAATGTATTCGATCGCACATTAATCATGCAAACTTCTAATCTAAATTAATTCTCTAAGCATGAGTAATCCGTTCGATTAATAGTGCAGGAGTTAAATCGATATTGATAACGAGATAGTTCTCGAAATTATTTCTATGCTTAATTCTAGTTTTTTCTACTTATCGAATGATTGTTCGTAATTTGCAGGACACAACCGGTATTCTGCTCAATTTTATAAATAAGCTTAACGTTCTCGTTATCATTATTCGTTATTATATTTCGCGTCTTTGTGTCGATCACACGTAATTTTTATATATACGGTCGCACGAACGTACTTAGTCTATAAGCGTTTCTCTCTTTTAATCTCTTTCTCTTTCAACTGTGAAACTTTCCAACGTGCATAGACTCGGTCTGAATTATTATGATGCAGCCTTGGAAACAGCGCGAGTAGAAGATACAGAACTCGAGACGTTTTGGCCGCAATCTGCATACGGATCTAACACGCTTAGCTCTCTTACTTATCCAATACACAGATATAACGGACGATATTATTATTGCAATAAACGATAATGAGAAGAAAAAGAGCGAAAGAGCGACAATATATACAATCGACTCTTTGGATACTCTGCGAAAAAAAATATTCAACCAAATGTTCGATAATTGCCAAACATAGTTATTCAAACTAATCTGGATCGATATTAAGTATTCTTAATTCTTTTCATATGTGTGTGTTAAATAAATGAAATGCAATTTTTAAATTATAAAAGTATAATTTAGCTAAATTCAATCTAATACTCTCTAAATTTATGTGAAAAAGTAACTACTTTTAAATGTAATATTATATATTCTCTCTCTGAAGTATAATATTCTTTGTACTGTGTTAGATCTTAAATATTTACATAATTTATAATTATTTAATAAATAATATTTATTATCTGCCTGAATTGAAAAGTTACAAATTGTGCGAAAAACAGTAATATTATATTCCAGAAATTTATAGCAACACGGCTTTTCACACAATTTATTATTATTTGATTTATAACATACATGTAAGATTAAATTGATTTTGCAAAGAATATATTAATATTTAAATTATCCATATATAGTATGCCAATATTTTGATAATTTAATTTACGTACGGCTGGTACGTTCTTTTGTTCTGCGATTTATCTTCCTGGAACGTAACAAACATTATGCGAATGAGGATTATCTTTCTTTTAATGATGCCTGTGCTAGATTGCAGCGACATAGTTAGCTATATACTGTATAGTAAACTGTCAGCTGCATTCACTAAACAGATTCATTGTTTTCTTAAAATGATCTGGAAAAACCAATAACGTATTTCATTTAGAAAAATAAAAAATAAAAAAGATAAACCGTCCATATTTCTATGATATCTTTCTTGTAATAATTTTGAATAATATTCATACCGGATTTATATAGCTATTCAAATATTAATATTTTAGAAATTTGTGATAATTAATTTTCGGTGATTAATTTCTTATAATTTCGATATAAAATAAAATAGGAATGTATTAAATTTAATTGTTAATTCAATTTTTTAGAAAAACATTAGTACATTGACATATATTTTTAGCAAATAAGAAATATATATATATATTTTTTTTTAATAATCATTTATGTATATTAATAGCGTTTATATATATATATATATATATATATATGTGTGTGTGTGTGTGTGTGTGTGTGTGTGTGTGTGTGTGTGTGTGTGTGTGTGTGTGTGTGTATTATATAAAGATAAAATCGATTCTGCAACTATACAATTAAGTTATTTAATTATTCTGTTAATTTAATATTTCCTATCCGGATTTTCCTATTATTACTAATTATATTTACATCAGAAATTTATCGCATTAAAAATTAAATTTGTAATCAACAAATAGACACGTTTGAAGCCGGTAGGATATCAAAGCGGCTGGTACCGGAAAAGGACTCGAGTGCTCGCTACACGCAACATATTATATGTATATAGTCTTGTCTTGTGCCCCAATGTATGCGTTCATCTATCTATACAATCAAAAGCAAATTAGCGGCTTGTATATAATGTGCGGACCGGAAGAAGAGATACGTACATATGCGCATAGGGAAAACAGTCAGTTTTTCTAACTGCACTAGTATTATGCGCTGCATGATGTTTCATCGTGAGCGATTATCGAACGACAACACATATCTTCGTAAGCGATCGCATGAATGAATCGCAGCAGCGCCGTACCATGCATCGGTCTGCGGATTACGCAACGCGCAAAACATCGACAATCGCGAAATTTCAATGCTCGGAAAAGAGAGAAGCGCGAGAAGACTCTTTGATTCAGACACCGACACGCGAGTCTACCCTAA